CTGCATAGCGAGGCCTGCGCGGCTTGTAGCCGCCGGGCCTTCGCCGGTTCCCCCCCAAGCGAGTCCTGGCGGCTTGCAGCCGCCCGGGCCTCGCTGTCCCCGACCGGCTCCCCCCAATATTTTTTCAGGTTTTAAGATTTTTGTGCACACCTGGGGACCGTCCCAAGTGTGTACAAAAATCTCCCTCCCCCCCAGGTGCCCCCGATGCGCGGATTTAGGTATCCGCACACCAGGGGGCATCTTCGGAATTAGATATATAGATGAACTGACAGTCTTTATATGTTCTAAAAAGTTACTTTGAGTAGAGATAATTTTGTATGGTGCTTGAAGCTATAAGATAATGAGTTAACTACGAGTGTGCTCCCCTATCAAGTGGCTATTGTTAGAGGGTGATTTGAAAATGCTATAAATGTGGGAAATTGTATCGATCAAGAGCTTCTTCTCAGACGGGGCTCCTTTGCCTGTGACCTGCTTACGTTTGGGATAAGAAACTCTTTGGGACTCATGTAATTTCTCTCCTTTAATTATCTATGTAACAATGATGGGTGGATGGTATAATGCTTTGTCTATTTTATCTATGTTAACAGAATAATTATGCCTTAAAAAACAAGGAGAGATTCTCTAACAGTATTTACTTGTGTACTATACCCAGAATGAACCTATAACGTTATTGGGGTGTGCCTCTGGCTAGGAGTTAAAATGACCTGGTATAGGGAAGCTAACTAGATGCCCAGGGTTTCTTAAGTGCACCCCTATACCTGAATGAGGCCTGGCCGGAGTTATCCAGAACAGGTCATTTCGGGTTACTTTTGTATGGTACATTTTGGTTCATTGTGGAACTGCCCTCTCGCTGCTGTTTGATCCTCTAGGGCTAAGAGCAGGCTCCCCGGCCTTCAGACTGGCAGCTTTCCCCAGCTTTTAACTAAGGAATTATCTGCTGTTAACGGATACTGTTATATGGCTACATTGCGCTTTGAGCAGCAGTGTCTTTCAGTAGCCGTCTAAACAAAGAAAGTAGGAATGCTCGTGAGATGAGTGGGAAAGCTGCCGAATGAAGCCAAGGGCCAAGAAGGTAGACTGTGCAGGTATGTCCTGGAAAAGACCCCACCTTGCAAATCCCAGCTTTATTTTGCTCCAGTTGTGGTTAACTGTGGCCACAGAGAATGCTGCTGGGGGTAACCCTGATAGGGTTCTCTGAATATCAGGTGATGGTCAAGTCTAGTGAGCTTCTCTGAGGACGTGACTTGTCATTTTCTCTTTCTCCCTCTTCCTTAGGCAGTGGCAATTCTGACAGCTACATATCCAGTGGGACACATGCCGTATGGCTGGTTGACAGAGATCCGAGCTGTTTATCCTGCTTTTGACAAGGTGAGCTTATTTTTCTTGTCACAAGAGTGAACCCTTTGCTTCTCTTTCAAATGCCTCCCTGCCCAGTGTGCTTTCCAAAAAACCCAGGGATTTATTAACATTGTAAAAAATGGAGGGGGGGGGGATAATGTGAATCTTTGTGGCAGCTAGTATAAAAGGACAGTGTGGCATTTTCCATCTCTGATGATGCTGAACTTCTGCTGTGGACAGGAAATGAGGCAGCCGGGTGGGAACGAGAATGCCCATGCTGAGTGTCTTGCCTGTAGTGGCTCGGGGTGGGCATTCAGCATAAACCGAGCCAAAAAAATACCCCCCAAAATACATTACCTTTATCTTTCGGGTATTATTTAAGCTGAATACAGATCAGGGAATCTTTTCAGCTATCGGTATAGCTGGGCCTGAATAAAGCCGATTTTCTTAGCTTTTATTCGGGTATATTTAGCTATAAGGAGCTGTGGTGGCTCAAGTGGTTAAGACGTTGAACTGCAGGCTGTGGAAGGTTGGTAGTTCAGCAGTTTGAGACCCGAGTGTGCCACATGACGGAGTGAGCTCCCGTCTCTGGTTCCAGCTCCTGCCAACCTAGCAGGAAAGCAAGACATTGCAAGTAGATAAATAGGTACCGCTTCGGTGGGAAGGTCACAGCGTTCCATGCGCCTTGGTGTTAAGTCATGCCGGCCACATGACCACGGAAATGTCTTCGTACAGCGCTGGCTCTTCGGCTTTGAAACGGAGGTGAGCACCGCAATCCTAGAGTCAGACTCGACTGGCTTTCGAGCAAGGGGAACCTTTGCCTTTTATTTAGCTATACCAAATGGCTGGTGGGCTCCTCTTGCAGCCTGGTCTAAACTGAGCTGCAAAGAGGAGTCAGCCCCAGCTGAGGAGGCGCAGAGCTATCGGCTCCCCCTGCTCCGGCTGATCCCCTTTTGCCTCCCCGCCGCACGCAGATCCCGGGGCCGGCTTCTCCTGCAGTGTGGGCTTGAGCCAGGCCGCAGGAGAAGTCTTCCCAGCCAGGTCTGTGTGTGGCAGGGGGAGACCTCTTGGGGGCCAGTTTCTCCTGTCGTGCTGTTTAAACTGCCCCAGGGTCAGGTTGGCGTTTTAAAAAATCGGTATTTTGCGTCTTGGGTCTATTGGACCTGAAAAAAATCGGGATTTCTGAAAAATCCTGGATCCGAATACCATACTGGTAGAGAAAAGTGGGGTATAAAAGCAGACTCTTCTTCTTTCCTTTTTATATGCTTACTAGCAGTAAAGCCCGTTGTGAAAGCAATACAACGGGATCTAGAAAGAGGCTCTGGGGCAGTGCTCTGGCTTTGGGCAAACAGTGTCAATTTGCTGTGGTGACCTTAGCAGGGTATAATGACAGAGTCCACTGTTTTCTCCAGAGGAACTGATCTCTGCTACCTGAAGAGCAGTTGTAATTGTGAGTAATCTGTAGCCCTCACCTGGAGATTGGCAACAATTGTTACCCAGGACAAAATGGCTGGTTTGGAGGGTGGAGTCTATGGCATTCTACCTGTCTGAGGTCCCACCCCTCTGCAAACCCCACCCTCTCCAGGCTCCACCCCTCAAATCCCCAGGAATTTGTCAGGATGTAGTTGGCAACCCCATCTCCTTCCCAGCTAGCCACCAACCTACCATTATCTGCCCCTTTGACTTCAGCTGACTTCTGCCCTCCCTTCTGCAGAACAGTTGTAATACTGAGTGCTCTCCAGCCCTCACCTGGAGATTGGCAACAATGGTTCCCTATGTGGGACTGACTGGTTTGGAGGGTGGAGTCTATGGCAGTGTACCTGTCTGAGGTCCCACCCCTCCTCAAACCTCACCCTCTTCAGGCTCCATCCCTCAAGTCTCCAGGAATTTCCCATCTGGAGTTGGCAACCCTATCAGGATTGGCCCCAATGTGGTTTCTCCCAAAGGCCAAAGTAGGTGACAGGACCAAGCTTAGTTGCCTACCAACAGGCACTGAGGGGAATGTAGGGTTGCCAGCTCTAAGGAGGGAAATACCTGGAGGTTTGGGGGGTGGATTCTGTAGAGGGCCGGGCAACGGAGGCATCGGCCTTCCGTCGCCCGCCTTGCCCCCCCAATC